AGAAGAAGCTCGGAAGATGAGGGTAAGGTTGGCTAAGTTCGTAATTGTCGGAGACGAATTGTTCAAACGTGGCATCTCCACCCCATTGCTCAAATGCTTGACTGCCCCTCAAGCTGCTTATGTCATCGAGGAGATCCACCGAGGTATATGTGGCATGAATTCTGGAGCACGCTCGATGGCGACCAGGGTACTCCGAGCTGGATACTACTGGCCCACTTTGAAGTCAGATTTCCAAACCTACGTGCAAAGATGCAAAGAGTGCCAACAGTTTGGCAACACGCACCAACAACCACCTGAAGCTCTTCACCAGATGATGTCTCCGTGGCCTTTCGCCCAGTGGGGAATGGACATCCTAGGACCATTCTCCCCCGCGAAAGGTCAGCTCAAATTCCTCTTGGTGGCAATCGACTACTTCACCAAGTGGATCGAGGTGTGCCTACTTGCCAAGATCACCACTGAGAATATACGGAAGTTCACCTGGAAGAGCATCATATGTAGGTTTGGAATTCCGCATTCCCTTGTTATCGACAACGACCGACAATTCATTGCGCAGAGCTTCGAAGACTTCCTTCGAGAACTCAGAATTAAGCACCTCCCGACCTCGATGGAACACCCACAGACCAATGGCCAGGCCGAAGCCGCCAACAAGGTCATTCTCCGAGAGCTTAAGAAGCGGCTAGGGAACGCCAAAGGACAATGGGCCGACAAACTCCCCAGCATCCTCTGGGCATACCATTGCACCCCCCAGTCAACAATGTAAGAAATGCCTTACAGGCTGACTTACAGAGCTGACGCAATGATCCCAGTGGAAGTCGGGGAGACATCTCATCGACGCCAGGTCTTCAACAACGAGTAGAACGATCAAGAGATAGCGGTCGACCTTGACCTGATTGACGAGCTCAGAGACGAAGCTTGGGTTCATGAAGAATCCTGCAAACTTTGAGCTTCCAGAAGATATAATGCCCGAGTGCGACCTCCCCCTTTCCGAGTTGGTGACTTGGTGTGACGACTGATAGGCGAAGCACGGAGAGACACATCAGAAGGAAAGCTTGTACCCAACTGGGGTGGCCCATTCCGAGTTGTAGAAGACTTAGAAAATGGGACATACCGACTAGAAGAACTCAGCGACAAAGTCATCCCGCGGACTTGGAATGCCACGCATCTTAAGTTTTATTTCAGCTAAACTTGTAAGAATGAGTTGTGCACTCTTTTCCTGCCTCAGTCTTTTGTCCCAAAAAAATAGAAAAATGGGTTTTGGCTGAGAGGGTTTTTAAAGAGGCACACATAATATCAATAAAATAACTTATTCTTTTCCATTCATATTCTCTTAATTCTACATTATTTTACCATAAGATGCTTTATGCTAAGCTGAGGTCGAGTTCGAACCTTGGTACGATTTATTTTACTTTACGCCGAGGTCGAGTTCGAACCTTGGTACGATTCATTTCACTCTAAGCCGAGATCGAGTTCGAACCTTGGTACGATTTATTTTACTTTACGCCGAGGTCGAGTTCGAACCTCGGTACGATTTATTTTACTTTACGCCGAGGTCGAGTTCAAACCTCAGTACGATTTATTTTACTTTACGCCAAGGTCGAGTTCGAACCTCGGTACGATTCATTTCACTCTAAGCCGAGGTCGAGTTCGAACCTTGGTACGATTTATTTTACTTTACGCTGAGGTCGAGTTCGAACCTTGGTACGATTCATTTCACTCTAAGCCGAGGTCGAGTTCGAACCTTATTACGAATTATCTTACTTTCCGCTGAGGTCGAATTTGAACCTTAAAAAGGAAACCCAACCCAAGGTCGAGTACGAACCTCGGTATACATTATTTTTATCTAACACAGAGGTCGAGTTTGAATCTCGGTCTAGATCGTTCTATCTCACCAAGGGTCGAGTTCGAACTTTAATACGAATTATTTGAACCAGGCCAAGTTTGAGCCCCAAAAAAAGCACAACAAACACAAGTGCAAAACACATAAGTTCAAAAATAGAAGGTCAAATAGAACCATCGAAAGCGCGAGGATGAAATCTCGAAAAATGATATATACACGACAATGTTAGAAGAGTTCAACACATGAATCCAAAGGCAATAAAAAATAAGCAGAACAAAATAAACTGAACTATGACAAAGATGGCCTAGGTAGAGGCGTTATCACTTGAGTTATCCGGGAGGTCATCTTCTTTTACCAGCTTCCCAAAATGCACCTCTTTCTCCACATGCATAACGGAGAGGTCGACCCCCGACGCAAGTAGACTCGCCTGGCGAGCTGCCTTGAGGAATCCCTTCTTGTGCTTGAACAGGAGAGCCCGCTCAGTTTCGACGAGCTTCGTCTCCAGTTCTGCCTTCGCCTCAGCCATCTTCGCAAGATCCACCTTCAGAGCGGCGACCTCCTCTTCTTTTCCACCAAGAAGCACCTCGTCACAAAGACGCTTCTCGGCCGCTGCCACCAGATCAGCCTTCAGCGAAGTCACCTCGTCTTCCAAGAAACGCACCCGACCCCGGGAAGAACTGGAGAGTTCCTGCAACTCACCCACTTGGGCAGCGTAAGTCTCATTAGACCTTAGAGCAATCTCTAAGGACTTCTGAACTCTTACCAGCTCCCTCATGGTAGCTTGAAGCTCAGCCTCATTCTGCAACTTGGCGCCACCAAGGGCAGCCGCCAAGGCCTTATTCTCTTCCTCCAGCGGCTGGACTCGACCCCTCATTTTCTCAAGGTCCTTCTGCTGCTTGGCCCACTTGTGCTTCAAGTGGTCCACAATAGTCATTGTCCTCTACAGAAAGACCTAGGCAGAATCAAGGCCTTCCACTGGCCCGACCGTCTCGATCATAGCCTGATCGGCCGAGCTCAGCGAACCCTTGGGAAAGAATTTCTCCGAGGTCACCCCCGCGCTCCACAATGAGTCTATATCCTCCGAAGCGCTCACGTGGTCCAACCGCACCAGAGAGCAATCCTTTCCAAAACGATGGGCGAGGTATTGGCTACAAATTTTAGATTTTATTTATTATATTTTATAATCAAAAGATATCTAATATTAAATCAAAAGATTATAATAATTATAACTCAAATCCAGATAAATATTTTGATATTAAATTTATTATATATTAAAATTAATTAAATATTTTTATCAAAGAAACTAATACAGATTTTAGATTTTATTTACTATGTTTTATAATCAAAAGAAATCCAATATTAAATTATAAGATAATAAAAATTATAAGCTTCTGTATTTTATATATATATATATATATATATATATATATTACTTTCCCAAGAATACTAAGAAATCAAGTTGGTATAGCGGTATGGTTGTTGGCTCATAACCCCCACAACCAGGGATCGAAACCTGGCTTTGTAATTTTAGTTAAAAAATATTTACATTCATCACAGCGCACGTGGGAAAGCCACATTGGTTCAAAATTTAATAAAAAAAATTTAGCTACCGAAATCTAATTGGTCGCTAAAAAATTCAAAAGTTTAGTATTAGCGACCGAATTAAATTCGGTCGCAATTGTTTGATAATTATTTTCAAAATTGGTCGCTCGCAAACAATATTTTCATGAAACACGTCGCAATTGTTTGATAATTATTTTCAAAATTGGTCGCTCGCAAACAATATTTTCATGAAACACAATTAAACAGCGACCGATTTTCTCGCTACCACTCTAATCCGTCGCTAATTTGGTCGATTTTCTCGCTACCACTCTAATCCGTCGCTAATTTGGTCGCAAAACAGCGGCTGATAAATTTCGGTCGCTAATTCGGTCGCAAAATAGCGACCGATAAAATTCGGTCGCTAATTTCGGTCGCTATTTTGTATTTTTCTTGTAGTGACGGCGGAGGAGGTGTCGGGACCTCGGAGCTTGGAGCCTTGCCGCGGGCCTCAGCAGAAGCAGAAGCAGGCGCCTCATGCTCAGCAACGGGGGCGCCCACCCCAGGTGCCCCCGAGCTTGGAGCCGCCCGGACCTCGGTAGCATTCCCCGCCTACAAGAGACAAAGATTTCTTCGTAAGACAAAAATCAAGAAAAAGGTAGTATAGAAGAAAAACCACAAAGCAAGGCACCAACCTCGGTGACCTGGGCAGCCTGCTCGATGGCCTGAGCAACTTGCTCAGCAGCCTGAGAAACCTCCTCGGCAGCCGCTTGGGGAGCTCCCCTCAGGCGGGGGACTCCTAGTGAGGTCAACCGCGCCGACATCGTCAGCCTTTGAGGTCACCTCCTCGGTATCTTGAGGGGCAGAGGTCCCCCTAACCTCTTTCTCTCCCCTCTTTCTTTTTCTTCGGGTCTCCAGGGGGGCCACCTCCTCCTCTCAAGGCTCTTAACCTTGTGGTCGTGGGTTCGGGTCCCACGATGGGCGCTAAATGTTCTTACCGGAGATCGGTCGTAGGGGACGATCTGCTGCGTAAGATCGGTGAGCCTCATTTACAGGGTACGATTGTTGTTCCAAGGCGGGGGTGGTACCTACAAAAGAGACTCTGATGCTAAAGTTAGTGTTTGTGGACGTATGAGTCTCGTATAAGTAACGCATGTACCTTAGTGTGAATTAGGGTTTCATTAGGCCTTGGGCCTGAGATCAGTTATGACCTATTTGGGTGTTGGGTTGACGTCGCTTAGCGCGTGTCCGAGGTCACTCTGCGCTGAGATACCGAGCTCGAGCTCAGCATAGCGGTACGGATAGTACATTTATAATCTTTTTTATTTAAACATTAATTAGGTTCTATTATTCTCATGTAGATGAATCTATTGAAATAAATTTCATTTCTTGAATTCATCAAATCAAAATCAAAATCGTGTTGCAAAGTTGAAAACACCACTACTTTAGAAATAATGAATAGACCCAAGTTCAAAAGATAGATGATTAAAATAAATCTTTTAAAAAAGAAAAGGCTAAAATAAATTTTAAAAATAAATAGAATATCGTTATTATCATTTTTCTTATGATGGCTACATAAACGCTTATCTTGATATTTTTTTTCTAATTTATTTTTTGGTGACAGAGCTCTAAAGTCACAAAATCTTCAAGGCAGTCTACCCCCACAACTGATCAGATTACCCTATCTCCAAGAGATGTACGTAATAGTATTACTCTTGTTTTAAGGACAATGAAATTGTGTATATATGTTAATTACTTTATCACTATATATGAATCTTGATTCATTTCACTTTCATTTTTCGTTTTTGTTTTCCCTCTTGCCTCTTGGTACAGTGAACTAAGCCGCAACTACCTTAGTGGTACAATTCCCAAAGAATGGGGCACTTCCAACCTTCGAAAAATGTACATGTGCTTCTCTTTTCACTTATGAATTATCTTCATTATATTTCTTCCGTTTCAAATTAAATATGGTTGTTTAAGACTTTTGCATAAAGATTAACAATAATAATAAATTTATATCACTTTTCAATACACTTTTATTGAAATAGGCAACTTTCTCATTAATGTATTATTATTTTTAAGAGTGATGACTGAAATATTAATGGAGTAAATTAAAAAAAAACTAATTAATATTGTATTCAAAATTGCGAACATGTGTCATTTTGAAACTTTTTCAAATGTTAAAATTCTAGTTATTTTGGGACGGAAAGAGATTGTCTTTAGCATATGACTTTGTTACGTACACAAGGATATGCGTGGCATTGTGTGTATGTGTGTGAGAGTGAGAGTGAGTGAGCATATAAATTTAGGAGAACACTCCTTTAACATTTTACTTTTTGACACATGGACATAATATTCTGTAGGTTGAAATTCATGCCAGATTCACTGGTTTTGGAATGAGATCCACTGAATGAAAAATAAGGCTCTCATATTCAGTGGACTTTAATGAATTTCATTTCATATGAGAAAGTATATTGGAAGAAAATTTTCATTATATAGTATGAGACCACCACATGACCATGGTCCTAGTAAATCTTCAAGTGACAGACAGATTTCAGCACGAATAAGTGAATGTTATCTCCGTGGGACACCAATTTTTAACCATTAGATGTACTAGTTCTTAAAGATGGTCAAGATTTTTTCATTTTATTCTTTTACCTTCTCTTATTAGTTCCTCTTTTTTGAATATGTCCCTTAATCCTAACACCTTCCCCTCTCTCTCACGCCCACTCTCCTTCTCTCCCCCTCCTGCTCCTATCCATATCTCTGACAATGACATCGAGGGCCACCTTATATACCATCTAACAATGACACCTATTTCTATTCTTTTTGTGACTTGTGAAATAACAAGGAAATACACATAAGGGAGATTGAATGTTTGTGTGAAAGTTTTATAACTTTTTAAAATTTTAATATAAGTTCTTAAAAGTCTTTCGTCTAATAAATGTGAGGGAAAAGTGATGACAAGAAAACACTTTGATTTTTATACCAGTTTACTCAACTTTAGTTATGTTCAGTTAATTTAGAAATTGAAGGGTTTCACTAATTTGAAAATTTTTACAATACAAATATTTTCATTATAATTCTTGGCTTATAGACATAACAAAATGCTTTTGAAAGTCTCTTTAGACTTATAAGGTAAGGTAAAATTTGTGTTTTCTAGATAACTCTCACAAAGAAGATATATAAAATAATTACACTAAGAAAATTACTTCCTAATAAAGTAAGGATGTTCTAACTTAAGTTTTTCTCTAGGATAGTCCATTGGACAAATGTTACAAAAGGTTTAAAAGATTTTTTTTAATCAAAGTTTGGGCACAACTAATGAGAATGTGTATTCACAATATTTACAAAATTTTACTCTTTATTCAAGGCTTCTTATATTTATGGACTTCAATTATATATTCTTTTTGTGAGCCTTGTAACTTGGTTGTTGTAGCTTGTGATCTTTCTTTTACTTGTTCAAAGCTTTATTAATGCCTTGGTAAAGGTAATGCAGTAGAGAGAGTTTGGTCTAAACACAATGCTTTATGCGTTGAAAATTTCTTTTATATATATTTGTCTTTATGTGTTGGTTTTGCTTCATTGTGTCATTCTACACGCATATACAAAAGAGGTTTATAACATACATAGATTACTATATATAGCACTTATCAATGACTATTTTTGAACTTTATATGTTTTTTTTATGGCACGTATAGACAGTCAATAAGGATTGAATTTATGAACTCTTAAAGACGTAAACGATGGTCTCAACATGTTGGACGTTGAATGCATAACTAAGCGTTTAACATGCTTATTTTTACTTATTTGTTATTTGTCAAAAGAGTTTTTACTCTTCATTTCTTATACTTTTGGATGTAAGATTCTTGAAATAACTGAGACATATAATTAATAAAATTTGATTTTGGATCATGTAGAGATTAACTTGCTGGATAAGATAGTCTGGGACCATATGCATTTCTAACATATCTGAATTAATAATTTATCATATATTTCTAACACTTTTGTAATGTTACCTTGCTTCCTATCACTTGAATCTAATTTATGTTTTTTTTTTTTTTTTTTTTTTTTTTTTTTTTTTTTTTTTTTTTTTTTTTTTGTAGTTCTCTTCTTGGAAACAGACTCACTGGTCCAATCCCAAGAGAGTTGGCAAACCTCACCAATCTTACACGCTTGTGAGTTTTTCTTTTTCTTCATTGATTAATATTTATGTGTATATATATGTCATTTAAATGTAACATAATTTCAAATGCATAGGATCCTTGAGTTCAATCAATTCTCTGGAAATCTTCCTCCAGAACTTGGGAATCTTGCCCACATTGAAAAACTGTAAGCCTTGCATTTCAATTCTTATTGTCATCAAGAGACAATTTATTGTTTCATTTGATTTAGTCTTCTTGTTGTTTGACATAATTTTTTTTTTCGACTTTCAACTTAGTCTTTTACTATAAAAGTAGTTAAAATTCATGTGTAACATAATATTAGTGTTGATAATTTCTTGTTACTATAGGCATTTAAGCTCCAATAACTTCACTGGTCAATTGCCAGCAACTCTTGCGAGGCTTACTACAATGAAGGAATTGTATGATTCTTCTTTTAATTTTATGTGTTACTATATGAATTATATTATCAATTTTGGTTATGACTTAGTAGTAACTTTGCATGATTATTCTCATATGAGGCAGTCGAATTAGTGACAACCAGTTCTCTGACAACATACCTAATTTTATTCAAAATTGGACAAGTCTTGAGCAATTGTAAGAACCATTTTCTTTTTCTCTCTTTTTTTTTATAATTTATTTATTGGAGTTTGATTTTATTTCCATTTTTGATCCTTAAATATACGATGAAAAATTGGAAATGTTTATTTTGAAGATATATGCAAGGGACTGGTTTAAGTGGACCAATTCCCTCACTAATTTCACTTCCAAACTTAACCGACTTGTAAGTATGAGCTTTTTATACTATAACCATTTCTCAACACAAAATTGCTTTCTAATTGTATTCTTCATTAAAATATGAAATGCAGGAGGATTAGTGACTTGAATGGACCTGATTCAACTTTTCCACAACTTAATATGACTGCACTGACAACACTGTAAGTTAATTGCTTTAATTGTTAATATTTTTATTCAATTTTTCTTGTGTGAAGTACAACATATATTAATATTTATTTATTGAAGAATTCACATAGTTGATTATTTAACAGGATATTAAGGAGTTGCAATATCAATGACACATTGTCTAAATTTCTTCAAAAACCCCTGGCTTTACACATTTTGTAAGTGCTATAATTCACTCTTTTTCTCATAATATACTATGTTGCTGCTAATTGTAAATTTTTCTTGTATTAATTTTATCTTATTTTATTTTTAAGATTATACAGAGTCCTTACTTCTTACATGCAATTTGAAAAGTCTAAACCAACCGATGAGAAAACTGAAAGGATGTAGCTCTATAAATATAGTTGACCAAATAAGTGAGTTTTGTAAAAAAACACTCCTCAACCAAATGCTTTTTGTTTTGTGTCATTTTGTATGATATATGGTATCAGATTGATCATCATGGCTCCATCCATTTTATACTCTTTTTTTTTTTTTTTTTTTTGCGTATATAACATGAGTATGCTTCTTGTGGTCATCACTTCTATAAAATAAATATATTGATGTTTCTTCTCTATAGTACTTTCTGACATATTCTGGATAAAATTTCTTTCAGAGACCTTAGCTATAACAAGTTAAATGGACAAGTATCGACAAACCTTAAAGATTTAACAACACAAGCAACCTACATGTAAGAATTTTTAAGCATTTTACATATTAATTTAATTTACTCCAAAACAGGAATTGATATTATTTTGGTTTATTGAATAGATTTAGTTTATATATATATATATATATATATATATATAATAGGCTTTATTATGTAGAAACCAATTTCTTTGTATAATAATCAAATAATTATTAGGTTTCAAATATTATACCCAATCTGTTTGCTTATAATATCTTTAGTAGATTTTTATATATTACAAAAGGAGGTTGTCCTTGATATTAGTTGTTTATGTCCAATTGCATGCTTGAAGGGAAAACACAACTTAGACACATGTAAAATTGACATCTACATAATGCAGCTTAAGTAGACCAAGGCAAACTTGTGATGAAATGGGAAAATTTTATGAAGCAAAGATGCACCCTTTTTGTGCAAAACTAGTGATTATCTATGGGAAAATTAATGCTGAATGCAAATAAATAGATAAAAAATAATATTGGGTAAATGACAATCCACTCCCTTGATATTTTGTTTAGTCACTTGTTTCTAATTACATCATTCATTTTTTAAGATTCAAAATTCACATTGTAAAATTATTCAACAAATCATTTTTTTATTTGAATTATCTTTGTCACACAAAAATCTAAATGAAAATTAATTTCTATCTAAGATTTACGTAGTAAACTAGTAATGACTTAGTGACTTAATGTAATAACTGAATTTATTCCAAAGCAACAACTAAAATAATGGAAAAGTTGCAAAAGAAATATGCTCATAAATAAAACCTTACATGTTTTGTTCATGTGAAATATGCACAAACACAACAAATATTGAACTTGTTTTTGAAAGCTCTGAACTATTCATATAAATTTTTTTCTAGAACTTTAGTTTTTTCTATTTTAATGGTATCCTTATATATGGACAAAAGTAAGTTTTAGGATCTAGATTTTTTTTTTTGTTATTAACTTCATAAATTTATTAGATAACATCTCTAATTAAGTCAATATATATATATATATATATATATGCAATTTTGTGAAATAACTTAGGTTAATAGAATGATCGCTATAACAATTCAAATTAATTTGATTTTTTAGGAAAAAAAAATATGGCTGGGAATCACTATTGATAACTAGCTCATTTATCATTTTGATAGCTTCATTAGTAACTAGTATTTCCTATGTGTTGGTCTTTTTTATTATTTTATTTTAGATATTTAACAGGAAACTTTCTCACTGGAGCAGTGCCTGAGTGGACAAGCGACAATAATAGAAATTTGTGAGTTCTATTTTGAAAGTTACGTTTATACCTCGTTGAGTAATTGACATGTTTGTAGAACGTCACTTTATTTTTCTCCTTACCAAAGAAAAATAATTATTTTTTAATATTGAAATTATAAATTTACTCTTTCATATTTTATATATTTATATCTCAAACATTTAGTCCTTAATTTGCCTCTAAATTTCATGGTTTGACTTTTATCAAATATAAAATTATTAAAGTTGACCTAGTGGTAGACAGTATAGTCTTAAATTTTAATATTAGTGTGATTATTATATACCGAAAGATAAATTATAAAATATGTAACAGCTAATTGAATTTGATGGTGAATGAAGACTTATGTATTATATATTATATGTGTATAGTTTTTGGCACAATGAATAAGATGTAGTAGAGTATTATGATAAGTTAAATAATATTTTGGATGGTAAAAATAATCATGAAAATAAATAAGGATAATAAAGTAAGTTATGATGAGGAATTCAACTTCACAACCACCTCTTTTAGTGTTAGATTTTAATCACTACATCAACATTTGAGTTATAAGTTTTCCTTTGGATAGAAAGAAAGAAATGAAGCATTTCTATTTTAAAACTATTTTTTGAGGCCTAACGAAATAGTTTCATTTTCTAAGTTTCTGAATTAACATTACAGAGATCTCTCGTATAACAACTTCAGTATTGAAAACCCAGAGTCAAAGACTTGTTACAAGCAAAATGTGTACGAATATTTACATTCATGTACTTTTTTGTTTTCTAACAATTCAGTGAAGTTGAGTGTTAACTATCTTGTTTCTATGCCACAGGAACTTGTTTGCAAGCTTTTCAAGGAATAATAACTTGTAAGCTTATAGTTATATATTTCAAACACCGATAACTTTTATAACACGAACATATATGCTCTTTTTGTTCTTCATTGAGCAATTTATGTTAAATGTTTTAATTTCTTTCCACTTGCTCCATCAGAGGACCAGTTTCTTGTGAAAGCAACAATAGATCATGTCCTAAATGTAAGTTTATAATGTGTAATTTCTATTAACTCAATTATCTTACGTTGCCAAACTAATATTGTAGTACTTTTGTTTTTCCAACAAGTGCAACAAACAAACAATTTTATTTTGCCTAGATTCCTTAAATTCAATTTGATTCTTTGCCAGCAAAAGAAAAGGGTGCTCTAGTGCTATAAAGCTAATTAATGCTATGCTAGCTCATGTCCAAGGAAGGAAGGAAAAAGATGAAAAAAATAATGAAAGAATAGATCTATATAATTCAATGAATTTTCTTGTCAATATTTCTTTTTGAGCTTGAGTTTTCTAATTGTTTATGAGTTATAACCCATTGTTTCTTCTTCTAGATGTTAAATCATTGCATATAAATTGTGGTGGAAAACAAACTACTATTCAAGGTATAACATATGATGAAGATATAGATCCAGCTGGACCAGCAGTATATAAACAGAGTAGAAATAACTGGGCATTTAGCAACACAGGTCACTTCATGGACAATGATACTAACGAACGAGAACAACCTTTACCCTACACCACAGATAATGAATCTATGCTTTATATGACTGATGCTGAATTATATATGAATGCACGTATATCTCCCATGTCTTTGACTTATTATGGATTTTGCTTGGAAAATGGAGACTACACAGTAAAGCTTCACTTTGCTGAGATAATGTTCACTGATGATAGCACATATAGAAGCTTAGGGAGACGTCTATTTGATGTATACATTCAGGTAAAGTTTTTCATTCATTTTTTAAATACCCAATAAAACTTTGGGTTTTAACCAAATAGTCACTAGTTTCATTTAGGATCATCATCAAACAATGTTTAGATCCCTTTATGAACTTAATTTTTAACATTAAATCCATATTTGCAAAAACGTTTAATGGTTATGTACCGATAGTACAAAATAATTTTACAGTGTAAAAAATAATTATAAATTATTATTTGTATGATTTTTAAGATTGTTATTGTAAAAGTCAACAATCTTATCATACCTAGTAGTTTGTGATGGGATGATAACAAATTTACACCGTTAATGCATATCTATTTTCTCTTTGCAATGTCTTTATGTTTATGTCCTTAAAGTATAAAATAATTTTACACTATCAACTAATCACATATCATCGTTGATATGACTTATACAATTATTATTGTAAAGGTCAATAATCTTACCACATATAGTGGTTTGTGATTGGATGACAATGTATAATTGTTTTACATTGTCAAATTTTATACTATCAAGACATAACCTAATTTCTCTTTCCAATGAATTTAATAGTTATACACTAACTATATAAAATAGTTTTAGATTGTCAACCAATCACAAATTATTGTTGGTATGACTTCTAAGATTGTTATTTATAACAGTCAACAATCTTACTAAGTTAAAATATAAAAACATGGCATTAGATAAATAGAATTTGTTGAAATAAGTTCATTAACTTAATTAGTGGAATCAATTCCAACATTATTTTGAAAAGAATTCATTAACAAAACTCATTTAAGCTCGTATTTGAAATATTGTAGGGAAAAAAAGTATTGGAGGATTTCAATATTGCAAATGAAGCACATGGAGTTGGCAAGGAATGCATAAAACAATTTCCAGCTCATGTGAGTAGTAACGACTTGGAGATTCGCTTCTATTGGGCTAGCAAAGGGACAACATATATCCCATACAAATCAGTAAATGGTCCTCTTATATCTGCCATTTCTGTTGAGAATGGTGGGTTGTTATTTTCTAAGTGTTTTTTTTTCTTTAGTTACTACATTTATGGTATTATCTAATTCATTTGGCTCTTATGCAATAATTAAGCAGACTCTACAAGTAGCATATCTGTAGGAGTTATTGTTGCAATTATAGCTGCATTTGTGATTGTTATCACCTTGATTGTTATTGGCGTACTTTGGTGGAGGCGTTTCATAGGAAAGAAGTATTTATTAATGAAAGGTAATTACAAATACACCTATATTTTCTATCATGATTTCTTTTATCAATCATTCATCCAAGACATATGAGAATTATCTATCACAAATTAATGTGTCTTTTGTTCAGGAAATTTAGCTATTGACTCTAGTTATCTATCTTGTTAATTCTACATAACAAAACCAAAGGATAATGGATGAAAAATCTAATAAACACACCAATATATATATAAATGTTTTTTTTGTGATTGTACATGTAGTGATATAACACCTTTATTTCCTAAAGCTTTAATGACACAAATTCCATAGCATAATATATCTATCATTTTTTCCTTTAATTGCAGAGCTAAGAGATTTAGATCTACAAACTAGTTTATTTACTTTACATCAAATCAAAACTGCAACAAATAACTTTGATATTTTGAATAAGATTGGAGAAGGAGGTTTTGGTCCTGTTTATAAGGTATCCCAACTATATAACATCTATTGATTTTTTTTATCTATTATATTATGTATATTAATGATTGAATTTGTGTTCTGAGAATTCTAGCAAAATGTATACTATGATGTAGGGCATTCTATCAAACAACACAACAATAGCAGTCAAACAACTTTCATCTACATCGGAGCAAGGAGCCCATGAGTTTATAAATGAGATTGGCATGATTTCTACTTTGCAACACCCTAATCTTGTTAGACTTTATGGATGCTGTGTTGAAGGAGATCAATTGTTATTGGTATATGAATATATGAAAAATAATAGCCTTGCACATGCTTTGTTTGGTGAGTTTGCTTTATATACTCAACTTTGTTTTTATGTTACAATTCAATTTTAGTAGCATACATGGCTAAATGATTTGTTGTCTAATTGTTGCCATTGTCGAAAAAGGCCCAAGATATAGCCATTTAAAATTGAATTGGCAAACAAGGCAAAAGATTTGTGTTGGTATTGCAAGAGGCTTAACATTCCTACACGAACAACCAAGACTGAAAGTTGTTCATAGGGACTTAAAGACTTCTAATATATTACTTGATGAAGACCTAAATCCAAAGATATCCGATTTTGGTTTGGCTAGGCTTCATGGAGGAGACAATACTCACATAAGCACCAAAATTGCAGGGACTTGGTGAGTTACTAACTTGCTAGATCATATTTTTTTTGTTTAAATATTTTGAAAATGTATTTTTAAAGGAGACTACACACTAACAAGCCTTATCAAATCCAATTCAAAATCATTTTAGATAATTTACTTTATTATGCAGGGGATATATGGCTCCTGAGTATGCATTGCATGGTTTTCTAACTGACAAAGCAGATGTTTATAGTTTTGGTGTTGTTGTCTTGGAAATTATAACCGGAAAGAGAAACATTATTCACCGTTTAAAGGAAGAATCATTTGACCTTCTTGATTGGGTAACTTTTATTCTAAATGTTCTCAATTGTTTTTTTTAAACATCCAACATACAATATACTTCCTTTGGTGTTAAACTGTGATTTAATTTTCATCTTATGCCACTAGAAGAATAATATTATATGCCTTTCTCCTTTGTTGTGATTTGTAGAAAAAGCAAATTACCTACTTCAACTCATCTAAATGACATCATTGTAGTATTTTTTGAAATTCTAGTTTACCTCAATGACCGACATCATATGTTAAAGAATCAAAACATTTGAAACATATATAGTTATATAATAATTGTTATAAGTTGTTTGTTTCAACCATAGAAAACGTTCAAATCAGACTGATTTTTGTTTTGTTTTTCAACAGGCACGATTGTTAAAAGATAAAGGTAATATATTTGATCTAGTTGATCCAAGGTTGGGTTCAACTTTCAATGAAAAAGAGGTAATGTTGATGGTCAAAGTGGTTCTCCTATGCACTAATGTCTCTTCAAACCTTAGACCCAACATGTCTTCTGTACTTAGTATGCTTGAGGGAGCATTAGTGGTCCCAGAATTTGTTGCACATACAACTGAGGAAATGGATGAAATAAAATTGGAGCTAATGAGAGACTTTTACAATCAAATGGAAAACAATAAAATAAGTGAGTCACGAAGATTGAGTATGACAATCAATATTGCATGGACTGCCTCATCTTCTTCAATTGTAGACCTCAATCCAACTCAATCTGATTCTTCCTATTGGGAAAAAAATAATTAGATATTTTGTATGAACATTCATTTGCTTAATTTCCAATAAGATTGTTATATATATATATATATATATATATAT